CAAAAGCTTTATATATGTTGGTAACCTGTAATTTTGAACTTATAGAGAAATAGGAAAAACAGCTAGTCAACAGCACCCACCGTTTTAAGCTACTGTTGACCGACCGAATAATACATCTGTAGCCCAAAAATGCGGAGCGTTTTTGTTGTTTTTTTACGATAACAAAACACAAGCATTAGACTTGCAGATTCACAGTCCGGCACACTAACCAGTGGGCCACGTTCGGTCCATTATTTAACATAGAGTTATCACGCTCTTAACTAGTAAGAAATAGTATTCATGATTGTAAAAAACAACATGTAGGATAAAAAATACAGCTTGAAAAAACATGGCAAAACCTCTTCGCATTTGACAAGTGGATTTATATTTGTTTGTTTCAGAATTTCCGCGTAAAGTTCAAAAAGGGCTACTTGAATGCAGCTGCCCCTAATGAGAAGGCAGCTAGTCAATAGCACCCACCGCCAACTTTTGTCTGACCGAAGAGCAGAATTTGACTATCACTCTCACGCACCACAAAGTGCAGGGTGTGTTTTGCGGCAACGGGCCACAAACCATAAATCCTCGGATTCACAGTCCGAGTACGTTCATCACTAGGCCACGCCCAGCTCTTGACAGGTGAACCTGCTTTCTTCAAGAGTGTCTCCGCTCGCGAGCGCCAGGTTTTATCATAATGAGCCATTACAAGTTACCTGCCGAGGCACGATGAAGGGCAAAACATGCTGGGTAGAACACGTATACTTAGCCTGTTCCTCCATTTTCTCAGCATACAACTTGGATCCATCACAAATCACCTGAAAAAAAATAAAAATAAACTTAGCTTCGATCCACACAGAATTATTTCATAGGTACATCTTGTGTTTTCCTAAGCCTAATATCCGATTCATAACTTAAGGATTGAGCCGATAACTTTCATTACTAGACAAGAAGCTCTTTACACTTTTCAGAGATGGATTATGAAGATATTGGTTGTTCACTCCAAGGAGATATCGTATCTAAAAATCAGGTTTTCCCTGTTCCGAACCCTCAACGGTAACATTTAATTTTTTTGACACAATGACAAACAATATATTTTAAACGTTTCAGAATTTTGTTGTTGTTAAAAATTAGAATAAGTTTCTCGAATTTCATAAAGAAAAAATCATGTAGTTTTCTTGGTTTTCTTTGCTATAAAAGCGACCCTCAATCAATACCATAACATTTGACCCTACAGAAAACTCATTATTGAGCATAATTACTGTATTAGACTTGTATGTCTAAAAGATGATCTGTAGATGAATCTTTGACCACTATATGGTTGTCTCGTGGCTGTTTTCACAAGATAAATCTTTGACCACTATATTGTTGTCTCGTGACTAGTTTCACAAGATAAAGCTTTGACCACTATGTGTTTGTCTCGTGACTGTTTTCACAAGATAAATCTTTGACCACTATATTGTTGTCTCGTGACTAGTTTCACAAGATAATCTTTGACCACTATATGTTTTTCTCGTGGCCAGTTTCACTTTGGCCACTATTTAAATGAAATCCTCATTGATGTAATCAGAATATAATTTCTTGCATTTGACTAGTCCAAACAGTGGTAACGAAATTACTAACTTTATTTGTCGCCACCTTGGTAAAGGTTCTTGTACTACTCGCCTTAATGAAGACGAAATGTTGGCTGAAATAAAAGTCTTATTGCTATTATCTAGAAACTAATGGTACTTACTGTATTGTCTGCCATATAAAGAATTTTATTACTTTTGAGTTTTTAACACTTACGTCTGTTAGTTTGATGAGGAACGCTGTTTGAATCTCATTGTCTTCAATACCAAGTTCCCTCCATTCTGATAATGTCTGCAACGAACAGTAACAGCCAATCAGAATCTTGGTTACTTTACTAATAGTTTTGTTAAACACAAATATACAGGTGAAAGTAAATATCGTTTTAAAAATAGATAAACTGTAACGAATCATTATATATAAATATTAAACAATGTAAGAGAAAGAAAGACACTATTTTATATATATAGATAGATAGTGAGACAAACATAAAGATGGACAGATAATCGCGAAGAGAAAGAAAAATCCTCAACTCACTCTGTCGAAACAATTTAGAACGTATACTGCAGAGGAAGAGAAGTCCACACCAGGGGCAACTTCTGTCATCTGAAAACAGCCAATCAACAGACAGATTATTCAAACGTCTGTCTGTTTGCTAATCCAAATCCTCGGTCTATTAGTTCTTTCAAACATTTATCAGTAATTTATTTACATAATCATCTACTCGCCAATCCTTCCAATAGTTATCCATTCGAACACAAGTCCTTCCACCATTATGTCTCTCCACCATTCGGCTAAGTCTTAACACCAACTGGTGAATATATTTCTTTATTTATTCATTTAGTCTTACATAAATGCCATAGTTCGTTTTGCTGCCAACAGATGGTGACAAATTAGTTAGCAATGAGAAAGGTCAACTGATGAACGAACGATTAAAGTGGTTAGTAATGTGAGAGGTCACTCAGCGGAAGGACATTTAGTTGGAATAGCTAGCTGTAAGGTCAACTGATAGGCCTGGAGGTAAAAGTATGAATTATTTTATGTTTTATAATACTTGTTTGCTTTTGTTTGTTTGTAATTATGCACAAATCTACACAATGGGCTATCTGTGCTCTGCCCACCACGGGTATCGAAACCAGGTTTCTAGCGTTTTAAGTCCACAGACATACCGCTGTGCCGCTGGAGGGCTACTTGTTTGCAAATACAAATTTTGAATTTGTACAATACTATTTTAAAACCTAAACAGATCCAGGGACATAGCCAAGAATGTTGGTGCCAAGGACAAGTCCTTCGAGAAGCCACCCCCTCCACACACACATACAATTCATCACGTATGTTACCCGTAAATAAAATATATTCTAATTAACCTGTTTAAAAATAGTGTAGTTTATGAATCATAAATTTCCAACTGATATATACATTTGTTTGATTTACAGCAAATCTGCACAATAGACGGTCTGTCCATCACGGGGAATACATCCCCAGATTTTAGCGTTGTAACTCCCGATTGTCCCCCTTCCCACTCAGACTTCGTGCCTAAGCACAACAGAACCAACTTAAAGAAGAGCTGTAGTGGATATTTTAATAAATATATTTGTAGAACATTGAGAATATTTTATGGTTCTTACCTTTGGATCGAAATCCACAGCTCGACTCACCCTCTGGTAACACTCACATCTGTAGACGTACAGCAGGTTCAAGAAACACTCTCCAAACCAGTTCCGGTACTCTGACAGTTTCAGTTCACTCAAGGGAAGCTGGAGGGAACGGGAGCTTACAGTGCTGCACTGAGATATTTTTCGGCTGTTGAAAACAATGGAAGGTCAAAGATCTGTTTGTCTCATGTTGGACTTAATCATCGTCATTATTAGTCAGACGTAGATCATGTATTCGTCAACGATCTTTCTGAAGGTCAGAGTAATAAAGAACCAGGCCTGCAACTGTGTGAAATTTATCGCTGAATGTCAAGGTCATCAACAAAGCAAACCTTTGACTTTTTAAAAGTAACCTCTGAAGGTCGAGATAATCAAAAATGTAGCTTTCTAGATAAATAATATTGAACTCTAAGGCCAGTCGAGAGGTAAACTTAATTAAAGATGCACCTTCCTATTGACATGTGAAAGTAGACCTTCAAGGATAAATACGTCACAACACCTCTGTTTAGATGTATGAAAAATAATTTCTATAGGTCAAAGTCATTAAGAAACCTGCTCCTCGGATTTATGAAAGACACCTCTAAAGTTCAAGGTCATGAACAACGCAGTATGGTTCTTTGTGCTGGAAAGAATAAATATATATGAGGTAAAAACACCAAACTCTTACTGATCATACGTTTCTTAAGCTTAATAAAAGTGAGTTTGGTAGTAAGCACGTTATTAAAGCATGAAGCACGACTTAAACTTACATCTTCAAACTGTGTTCCAGTGTGGAAATCAACATTTTCAGTGCATTATAGAATGCAATACTAACACTGCAGCTGTCTCTAATGTTGACATGGAATCGTTTGTATCGGATTTGATAATGTTGCATCTTTTCCACGAGTCTCCAGCAGACTGGGTACATCTATTAGAACAACAACAAAAATTATAGGTTACATATTCGTATCAAACCTTTCTTGTGATGTGTTCATTGTTGAGGAAATGACCCCCATAGGTCAAATTCATCGAGAACGCAAAAATACCTGAGTTCATAGAAGTGATACTGGCTTTGGTTTTTACCATAAAAGTACGTTCCCAGGTAAAAATACCTGAGTTCATAGAAGTGATACTGGCTTTGGTTTTTACCATAAAAGAACGTTATCAGGTAAAAATACCTGAGTTCATAGAAGTGATACTGGCTTTGGTTTTTACCATAAAAGAACGTTATCATGTAAAAATACCTGAGTTCATAGAAGTGATACTGGCTTGGGTTTTTACCATAAAAGAACGTTATCAGGTAAAAATACCTGAGTTTATAGAAGTGATACTGGCTTTGGTTTTTACCATAAAAGAACGTTCTCAGGTAAAAATACCTGAGTTTATAGACATGATACTGGCTTGGGTTTTTACCATAAAAGAACGTTATCAGGTAAAAATACCTGAGTTCATAGACATGATACTGGCTTGGGTTTTTACCATAAAAGAACGTTCTCAGGTAAAAATACCTGAGTTTATAGAAGTGATACCGGCTTTGGTTTTTACCATAAAAGAACGTTCTCAGGTAAAAATACCTGAGTTTATAGAAGTGATACTGGCTTGGGTTTTTACCATAAAAGAACGTTCTCAGGTAAAAATACCTGAGTTTATAGAAGTGATACTGGCTTTGGTTTTTACCATAAAAGTACGTTCTCAGGTAAAAATACCTGAGTTTATAGAAGTGATACTGGCTTTGGTTCTCAGGTTCGCATGACATCTTAGTTCCTATAACATTATTTCAAAACTCTTGTGGGAGTTCTTGCCTATTTTATAACAACACATTTTACATAATGAAGTTAATAATATATATATAATATTATATTAGTTATATACAAACATGCAAGTTGGTGCTACGTTTGTTTGTTTGTTAACAGCACAAAGCTACACAATGGACTATCTGTGCTCTGCTCACCACGAGTATCAAAATTCGGTTTATAGCGTTATAAGCCTTCAGATTTACCGCTGAGCCGCTGGGGGGCTGCTACGTTTGATAAAATTTACCGTCCCTAATGTACGAAATTTTAGTGACCCCCCCTCCCCCCAAAAAAAATATCTTGCCGTATGTGGCCAAAAACCTCAATATATAATGAAAAAGTCACATAAAATCATATGAAAGGCATATCTATAAGTTGCATTAAGACATCATTTTCAAGTAAACCCTTAGAAATAACTTCGTTTTGTTGTTGTTGTTTTGTTTTTATAGTTTTAAAGATAAAATTCCAAACGTGAAAATTTCGTTCGTTTTGTATAAATTTAAATGTCCAGGCTGTGCCAAGGAGTACAAAGGCTCTACCATCAGGTGGCTTTACACTCGTGTTTTAAGAACATGCGCGGAATAAACAGGGAGTTCTGCCAGTGTTGCGTAGCACGTGCTCTCTGTATGTAATTGTGATTCTATTAGTATATTCAGTGAAGCTAGTGACGTATTGTTGATAAGAAAGGCTCATCTGACTGTTAAACTTTAAATCAACAAGAGTTGGTGAATCCTTTACAAATCAAACTGTTTATATATATACACAAGGCGATTGATTTTATATCTACTCTACTAAATGTCTTACTTTACTATCAACAGCTAGAGCCACCGTTTCGTTGTAATTGAAACCCCAGGATTCAAAAGGCAGCTGATACAAAACGTTGTCCACAGAACGGTATGTGAAAGGACTTAAGTTTCTTGCCCTAAGCCTTAAGTTTGTTGCCCTAAGCCAAAAAGTTGGATTACAGCAAGATAAGGGGCTGAGGAAAGGTTTTTACACATTAGGGGGGGGGGGGACTGTGGTAGTTTACTTCTTAAAAATGCCTTAGTTAGTCCAGTGAGGCAAGAGCGGCAACAATGTTACCATTGTGATTATCTTTATATAGTTTGTACTGTTAAAATGAAATATTTCTTGTTCATTGTTCGTGTTTAGCTGGACGTGGACGCTTGGGTAGCAGAACACCTGCCGGACACTGAAAACACCGATAAAGACGCCACCTTGCATGAAATGGCTCACCTTACGAATGTGATCACAGAAATTGCTTCACATTAGGTGAGTTCGTTAGAAGATCGTTTAAAAGAGTTAACTCGCTAGATACTTTTAGTAAGGAACTTTTAATTCACCCAAGTTACCACACAACTTACTCTTATAACTGATAAAATAATAACTTTAATTCTTTATCTGCACTTTGCTAAACGCTACAGAACCATGAGGGGGTGTAAAATTGCTCACCGACGTACTAAGTTAGCATTTCTTTTTACCCCCTGATAGAGAAAAGTATAATATCAGACGAACGTTTTCACTACGATATTTGTATTAATAAGAAACACCAAATTTCCCTGTCAGGTCTTGAAGACGAAGTACAAAGCGGGAAAGAAAAGTGAAATGTAGTTTTATGAGAAATACGTAATACGAGTATCAAATACGCAGTTAAAAGCCTTTTAGTTGGGAATCACTTATACATCTACAGCAACAATACGTCATAATGGGTGATGGTTGACAGACAGATCAGTGATAGGAGGTGCTGTAACAATGGGTGATGGTTGACAGTTGGCAGCAATAGTATGTACTGTTGTAGTGAGTGATGGTTTTTAGATGACGTTAAAGTGGATATTATCATGGTTGACTGTTAAATCATACATACCTTAACACGAAATTTCAGATGCTCGTTCAATCTCAGTTTGTTACTAGGTGTCCATGTTGAAACTCCTAAAGACGGAATTCGATCCAATAAACTGTGATGCAAGAAAACAAAAATGATGTGAAACCAACAGTAAGCAAGAATCTACTTTAACAATATATGTTCTTCAAACACAAAGTACAGAAATCCACACATTGTTACAATACTACTAAGTCCCCGTTACACGAAACAACCTAACAATATACGTTATTCAAACACAAAGTACAGAAATCCACACATTGTTACAATACTAATAAGTCGCCGTTAGAAACGAAACCTAACAATATACGTTATTCAAACACAAAGTACAGAAATCCACACATTGTTACAATACTAATAAGTCGCCGTTAGAAACGAAACAACCTAACAATATACGTTATTCAAACACAAAGTACAGAAATCCACACATTGTTACAATACTAATAAGTTCCCGTTAGAAACGAAACCTAACAATATACGTTATTCAAACAAAAAGTACAGAAATCCACACATTGTTACAATATTAATAAGTTCCCGTTAGAAACAAAACCTAACAATATACGTTATTCAAACACAAAGTACAGAAATCCACACATTGTTACAATACTAATAAGTTCCCGTTAGAAACGAAACAACCTAACAATATACGTTATTCAAACACAAAGTAGAGAAATCCACACATTGTAACAATACTAATAAGTTCCCGTTAGAAACGAAACAACCTAACAATATACGTTATTCAAACACAAAGTAGAGAAATCCACACATTGTTACAATACTAATAAGTTCCCGTTAGAAACGAAACCTAACAATATACGTTATTCAAACACAAAGTACAGAAATCCACACATTGTTACAATACTAATAAGTCCCCGTTATACACGAAACCTAATAATATACGTTATTCAAACACAAAGTACAGAAATACACACATTGTTACAATACTAATAAGTCCCCGTTATACATGAAACCTAACAATATACGTTATTCAAACACAAAGTAGAGAAATCCAAACATTGTAACAATACTAATAAGTTCCCGTTAGAAACGAAACCTAACAATATACGTTATTCAAACACAAAGTACAGAAATCCACACATTGTTACAATACTAATAAGTTCCCGTTATACACGAAACCTAACAATATACGTTATTCAAACACAAAGTAGAGAAATACATACATTGTAACAACACAAATAACACCCCCAATACACCCTTCCCAGCACTTTATGAAAACTCAGCTCAATACATCTTTTATCAACACGTGAATTACAGTCATAACAGAGAAAACGTTATAGGACAGAATACACCCTGGTTTCGTCACAAAATGTTATAGGACAGAATACACTCTGGTTTCGTCCACATAACGTTATAGGACAGAATACACTCTGGTTTCGTCCACATAACGTTATATGACAGAATACACCCTGGTTTCGTCCACATAACGTTATAGGACAGAATACACTCTGGTTTCGTCCACATAACGTTATAGGACAGAATACACTCTGGTTTCGTCCACATAACGTTATAGGAAGAATACACCCTGATTTCGTCACAAAACGTTATAGGACAGAATACACCCTGGTTTCGTCACAAAACGTTATAGGACAGAATACACTCTGGTTTCGTCCACATAACGTTATACGACAGAATACACTCTAGTTTCGTCCACATAACGTTATAGGACAGAATACACTCTAGTTTCGTCACATAACGTTATAGGAAAGAATACACTCTAGTTTCGTCCACATAACGTTATACGACAGAATACACTCTGGTTTCGTCACATAACGCTATAGGACAGAATACACTCTAGTTTCGTCCACATAACGTTATAGGACAGAATACGCTCTAGTTTCGTCACAAAACGTTATAGGACAGAATACACTCTAGTTTCGTCACATAACGTTATAGGACAGAATACACTCTAGTTTCGTCACATAACGTTATAGGACGGAATACACTCTAGTTTCGTCCACATAACGTTATATGACAGAATACACTCTAGTTTCGTCCACATAACGTTATAGGACAGAATACACTTTAGTTTCGTCCACATAACGTTATAGGACAGAATACACTCTAGTTTCGTCACATAACGTTATAGGACAGAATACACTCTAGTTTCGTCCACATAACTACTTTATAATAACGATAAATTTCCTTTACTAATTTAGTTATTTTTCTCATATATGACTTTTCCCAGATTTATCTCTGTTGTCACACCGGTTGGGAACCACTGCTTTAGTGTACAGCATATTACAAAAAATAGTGTGTAGATTGGTTTGGTTTTAATTTCGCTCCAAGCTACTCAAGGACTATGTGCGCTAACCGTCCCTAATTTGGCAGTGATTGCTAGATGGAAGGCAACTAGTCAACATCATCCACTGTCAATTATTGGGCTACGCTTCTATCAACGAATAATGGGATAGACCGTCATATTATAACACCCCCACAGTTGAAAGGGCGAGCACGTTCAATGTTGGTGATTCAAACCCGCGAGTCGAGCGCCCCCTAACCATCAGGCTATGCCAGGCCTTAGTTTGTAGAAAAACTGACGATTTATGAGACGAACAGACAGACATAAATAGATTTTTCAGATTTTGTCACGTAAAGCTATAAAAAGTCGTCCCTAATTTTTAATTGATAAACTAGAGGGAAGATAATTAGTCAACAGTCACCCGTCGCTAACTCCAATTCTTGCCTGAGAAAATATTGGGATTTGACCGTCACTCTTATAGCGCACCCACAGCTCCAAAAGTGCTTGGCACGTTTTTATGCAACGAGTCTAGAATCATGAACCTTTGGATTCACAGTTACATCCGGCGCTATATAAATGTAAAGGATTGAGTACGTTATATTGAAACGATTTAGAATATGGAAATCACCATGTCACATAATAAACACTGCCGATATAAAGTGGACGTGGAACGGGATGTATCAGAACTATATTTTGACATTGTTTGGTGTTATGTAGGTAGTGTGATGTCACCGAAAATTGATAGCTCTTGGGAAAGTAATGTAATAGCTCTTTTTGGTGCAATATATTCATATACATTCAGATCATAGAGATGTGCTCATAAAATGTACTCAGATCTGGAATTTATAATTTCCAAGACGAGGAATGTCCCTAATAGCTTACTGCAAATAGAAAACAAAGGAATGTGTATCAACTCAGGAACCAGGACCAACCAGAAATAGACCTGCTACAGGTCTTACCTCAGCCGTGGTAAGCAAATTCCAACACTTTATAACAGGTGAGAATCCACGAATACAAAAGTCAGTAGCAAAATCCGTCCACGTTAGGCAACGGTACATAGCCTGATCCGAAAAAGCGGCATAAGTCACGTGTATACATGTTGCTTCCACGATGGATATGGGCAACCTTCGCATACCTCAAGCAGCTGCAGAATGAAATGGGTATCCATACTATTCCGTGAGAAAGCATGTCAGTCAAACCGCCGTTGGATTTCTGTGGGACTGAAGAGTTGAAACGGTGCTGGGGAAATAAAAGTCATTTTCGTAAACTAAATAGATTATGGAAAGCTACAGGAGGGGGGGGTGCTTTGTACATGACAGTCTGACAATGGAAACTACCCTGCAGAGCTATTATAAGTATGAAAGGTCGTCGGATAAAGCATGATCGGACGTGGAAAACGTGGTGAGGCTCCAAAATAATATTTATTATATATCGTTTTCAACCATCGGCAGAAGAATATATGAATTGAGATACAAACGCTTACCTAAGTTTTTCCTGGAGAAACTTCACTCTAGTAGGAGTTAAAGCGAAAAAATAACCGTCAAGGTCTTTGTTTTCACAAAGATAATACCTGATGAACGAAGTTGTTATCCGGTCAAACAAGGCTAGCTAACGGAGATAAGAAAAAAAAAGAACGCTTTACGCAACAGAGCCATATCTTGTGATTCATTCGATAAAACTCTTCTTCAACAGTAATTTAATTTTTATGAATAGTGTTAGAAGTACAATCGTCAACTGTGGAATCATAAGATAGCATTAGAAGTAAAGGTAAAATAATAACTCATTATTGTACCTACAGTCCGCACTGGTCAAATAACAAGTTACCGTTGTAATTACAGTCCACACTAATCAAATAATAAGTTACTGTTGTAAGTACAGTCCTCACTAATCAAATAATAAGTTACTGTTGTAAGTACAGTCCACACTAATCAAATAATAAGTTACTGTTGTAAGTACAGTCCTCACTAATCAAATAATAAGTTACTGTTGTAAGTACAGTCCTCACTGGGTAATTTTTGGTTTTTGACTCTAGAACTATGGGACATGTCTTAATTAGAATATCATCATCAGATTATCGCTCACTGAGAAGAATGTCTTAATTAGAATATCATAATCAGATTATCGCTCACTGAGAAGGATGTCTTAATTAGAATATCATCATCAGATTATCGCTCACTGAGAAGGATGTCTTAATTAGAATATCATCATCAGATACGGCCTCAAAGTGTGGGTCGCATTTTGGGGCAACGCGTCGCGAATTGTGAAATGTTTGGATTTAAAGTCAGGGCCTTTATTACTGTTAAATGAACCAATAATAAGTTTCTTGTAAATTCAGACAGTAAAGGACCTTATCGTCAGTGTGGTAGATTTGTAGACAGTAAAGGACCTTTTCAGGGTACTTATCGTCAGTGTGGTAGATTTGTAGACAGTAAAGGACCTTTTCAGGGTACTTATCGTCAGTGTGGTAGATTTGTAGACAGTAAAGGACCTTTTCAGGGTACTTATCGTCAGTGTGGTAGATTTGTAGACAGTAAAGGACCTTTTCAGGGTACTTATCGTCAGTGTGGTAGATTTGTAGACAGATTTCTTCATCTGTAAAATCTCAAACCTCAAAATCTGTGAACAAGCACGTGTTCGTCAAAGATCCTCCTGAACAACTCACTAACTCCCAAGAAGTGTCTACGTTTCTGCTTAATGTAGTGAAACACTGAAGAATGACGTCATCAGCCACAGGATTACTTTCTTTTTCCGTGTTTCTTTCCATTAACACCAGTAAATTGCTATTAAAAGTAATATTGGGTTATAAACACCTCATGAACAACCATGATTATATTTATATCTTTTCGTACATTGACATTAACACGAAAATTAACATTATCAGCAAATGTTTATTGTAGTTTTAAAGATAACCATTCATATTTATTCCATCTCAGTGATTTTGGACTTTTTATATCAACATGAATGTTTTTATTGTTAGTTTAAATTCTGCCCATTGACTAAAATTATTGCTTCTTTTTCAAGAATATAAAGTTCAAGTTAATGATAAGAGCAGGGGAATATCCCTTGTAGCTATCTTCCATCTTCAATGAATCCCCCAGTAACTATCTGTACTCTTCAATAAATCCTTCCTTAGCTGCTTCCTATTTTCGATAAATCCCCCTTAGCTGCTTCCTATTTTCGATAAATCCCCCTTAGCTATTCCTGATATTAAATTAATCCCCCTTAGTAATCTCTAATATTTCATTAATCCCTCCTTAACCGCTTCCTATTTTCAATGAATCTCCTATCTTTAATGTTGCCTGTCTGTTGTATTCTAACCATATACTCGGTGACTAAGAAAATCTTAACCCTAAAATTGCCTATAGGGTCCGTATAGACTCCCCCAATGATTAAAAAGAATTAAACTATCTATATACTTGTTCTCATTCTACTGGTTACAATGTCCCTGTAACATAAAAATTACAATTAATATTTCAATTAATCCCAATAATTACAGCTGTGGTTCCCTATGAATTTTATATATAAAATGAGCGATTTCATCCAGTTTTTTGGTTTAGTTCTTTAGATCGAGTATTGTAAGAGAGCTAGGGATAGTGGAGTACAAGGTCCTCTGAAATGTTATTGCCTCCTCCCAGTTAATGTCGTTTGCCCCATGGTATGTCTCATCCCCCACCTCAGTTAAGAAAAGCCTGAGTTGGGACTGTGTTGTAAAAGGCAAAAACATAATACTACTCAATATGATGTAATATATGGACCACACCGGTACATAACGGTATAAAAACAATTCGGTTATTTCAGGGTTGTAATAAGTTCACCCAACATACGCACAGTAAATCCTGGGTTGTATGGAGCACCTGATTCTGTGCTGAAAAAATCTGCAGAGCTATTTGGCTCTCCTTCGGCAAAATCCCATCATAAAACTCTTTGTCCTATATGAAAAATGATAAAATTTATTGGTATCAAAGAATATGAAAGTTTTACTTGTTAAGACTATTTCTAACATTTTCATAATAATTATATTTTATGATAAAAGTTATTGGTATCAAAGAATATGAAAGTTTTACTTGTTAAGACTATTTCTAACATTTTCACAATAATTATATTTTATGATAAAAGTTATTGGTATTAAAGATTATAAAACTTTTATTTGTTGAGACTATTTCTAACATTTTCACAATAATTGTATTTTATGATAAAAGTTATCATTATTAACAACTCCACTTTCAAATTTCTTGTTTTTGAATATATCTTGTATCATTACGGAATAATCTTAAAACAACTGTTTAAAGTAACATATTTCTCAACCTCTATCAAGACCTAGATCAGATCTTAAAGACGGATTAGTTAAAAGTGACCTATATCTAAATAAACACATTCAAAAAATATATAAACTTTTTTTAATAACGTGCTTCCGTTATAAGCTATTTCATCCTTAACATGAGGTAACATATGACGTACAGAAATGACCATTTTATTTTATTGGATAACAATTCTAATTACTGTAATTATTTAAAATATTTTCCTGGTATTATGTTGTTTCAAGTTGTTAGAACATATACACTAACAGGTTCTGGATTTGACGTCTTTAACAACGACAGGCAAGTTTGATTAAAAAAAAAAGGTCTTTAAAATAAGTGAGCCACTTTTGATAAAATGCATACTTGTTTAGTTTGGGTGGAATGGCAGTGCATCTCCTTCAGAATGAGGTAATAATCTTCTAGCGAGCACTGGTCGCTCTCTACACTATCACACATGTCCGGATCCTAAAATGAGCAAAAAAGATATATTTTTAAAATGATCATACAATCAAAATTGATTGGTAAACAATAACTATTTTTGTATAACAACAGTTAAATAGAAGTGACTGGTAAACAATAATCAAATAAAATCGTCTAGTGAACAATAACTATTATTGTATAACAACAGCCAAATAGAATCGTCTAGTGAACAATAACCATTGTTGTATAACAACAGCCAAATAAAATCGTCTAGTGAACAATAACCACTGTTGTATAACAACAGCCAAATAAAATCGTCTAGTAAACAACTAATCAGTGTTGTCTAGCAACAGTCAAATAAAATTGTCTGGTAAATACCTGTCGTTTACTAACATCCTAACAAATTTTTCTGGTAAACAACTAATCACCTGCTGCTAGTTTTTTCAGTCCTTGAATAGTGGGCAGGTGCCAGAAGATTGGGAGTTAGCTAATGTAACTCCTCTTTTCAAGGGAGGTGATAAAAATTGTCCCAGTAATTATAGACCAATCAGTCTTACATCAGTTGTGGGAAAAGTTTTGGAAAGTCTGTTAAAAGATGCTTTGCAAAGTCATTTAACAAATTTTAGAATTTTATTCGATAGTCAAAATGGTTTCACTAAGGGAAAATCTTGCCTTACAAATCTTTTGACATTCTTTGAAAAGGTTACTGCTTATTTAGACGAGGGTAAGAGTGTAGATTTGGTGGATCTGGATTTCAGAAAGTATTTGACAAGGTGCCACATAAAATGCTTATAAACAAAATTATCTCTATAGGTGTGGGGGATAAGTCAGCAAATTGGATAGAAGAGTGGCTGGATGGAACAAAGCAGAGGGTTGTTACAAATGGAGTTCAGTCAAACTGGATTAATGTCACAAGTTGGGTACCTCAGAGCTCAGTCTTAGGGTCTTTGCTCTTTTTGATTTACAACAATGACAAAGATGAAGGAATAGTCAATAAATTACTTAAATTTGCAGATGATATCAAGATATTGGGTGTTGCTAGCTGTGAAGAGGATGCCGCTGATTTACAAAAGGATTTAGATCATTTAGTGAGTTGGGTAAATAAATGACAAATGGGTTTTAATTATAATAAATGTAAGATGATGTATGTGGGTTATCATAATTTGAATTATAAGTATAACTTCGATGGGAAATAACCTTAACAGTGTCATGAAAGAAAGGGATCTTGGTGTAATAGTTGATCAGTCTCTTAAGCCCTCCAGCAGTGTGCTGTTGGTAGTGGTAGGGCAAATAGGATTTTCGGTTGTATTTACAGAAATATTGAATACAAGTTTAAAGAGGTTATAATTTCACTGGTTAGGCCACATGTGAAGTATTGTCTTCAGTCTTGAGCTCCTTACCTTAGGAAAGACATTGAATTGTTGGAAAGGGTTCAGAGAAGAATTACCAGATTGGTGCCTGGGATGGAGAGGTTGTCATAGGAGAGGTTGAAATCTCTGAAATTGTTTTCTCTTGAAAAAAGAAGAGATAGAGGGGATCTGACTGAGGTGTTTAAGATTGTGAAGTGAATTGATAGTGTTGATGCATCATCGTTTTTCATATTTAACTGAGAATAGTAGGACTAGGGGACACAAATATAAATTTTGGCAAGGTAGGAGTCATCTTCAGCTAAGACAGTTTTATTTTTTTTAACAGAGTGGTTGGCCTTTGGAATGGGTTGCCTTCGGATGTTGTAGAGACAGTAAATTTAAGCGAGTTTAAGAGAAAGCTTTATAAGTACATGAATGATAATAAGTGACCTTAAGATTTTTTTACTATATTTATTAATAGATTTAGTTTAGTTTAGAAGATGGAACAGCCGAGATGGGCCAATAGGTCCCACGTTGTTCCAAAACGTTATGTTCTGTTATTTCGTTTACCAGCAAACAATAAAGTCCGCTTAATTATAGAAAATATTTTTATTGATATTCAAGTTCAATCCTTACGAGTCTTCCGATGGCCATGCCGAGTTCTTCCGATAATTATTTCGAGTTCTTCCGATAATTATATCTAGTTATTCCAACAATCATGCCGAGTTCTTACAATAATCATAATGAATTTACATAAAATTGCATTATTTAAGAGCTTAGCTGTCAATCTACTGATCCGTTTTTTACTTGTTCGAATACAAATAGTTCCTTCATTAACCATTCAAGTACTCTCGAAACCCAGGTGCATTTTACCTTTCTTTTAACCGCAATTTAAAATACTAATCTTCATTACGAGAATAGTTATGATTTCTAGACAACATCTCATCAAGTTTCGCGTTGTAAGACATGAAAAGAACGTCCTATTGACTTTTTTTTTTTTGGAGATTTTTTTTTCAGAATTTTTCACGAAACTAGATGGGAGTTATCTGTATATAGTCGTCCCCAATTTTGAACTGATGGCCTATATAGAAGGCAGCTAGTAAACAGCACTCATGGGCATAGACAAGGATTTCGGTTAGGAAGGGGGTGGGGGTATGCTCTTCTGGAAAAATAAACTGTGATTTTTTTTTAACAATTTTACAAGAATATTTCAAAATAAAATATAGTAATATGGAAAACATAATACTTGAAACACATGTATGTACAATATAAATAAAGATATAACCAAAAAAAATCTGCCTTTAGTTTCTCTATCTCACTCTCTCCAATTCTCCTTTTCGTTGAGAAGGAAGAAATTCGGGGAGTATCCCCTACAACCTCTCTTCTTATAAAGCCCTGATGGTACCCAACGCCAGATCTTGAGCAATTCTTATCTGACCGAATAGCGGGGTTTGACTCTCGCTCTTATAGTGCACCCATGGCCTTAAAGTGTGGATCACGTTTTTATTATAAGGGTCGAGAATCATCAATTTAAAATATGGGCAGGCTAACCACAAGGCCACGCGCGACCCAACATTGCTTGATGTAACATACTGTACATTTGACTAAACTGACTCACTTTCCAAAATTTACCAAGCGACAGAGTCAATCTTAAGATCACCTGTAGACTTAATTAAACTGACTCACTTTCCACAGTCTCCCAAGCGACAGAGTTAATTTTAAGATCACCTGTAGACTTAATGGAACTGACTCACTTTCCACAGTCTCCCAAGCGACAGAGTCAATCTTAAGATCATCTGTAGACTTAATTAAACTGACTCACTTTCCACAGTCTCACAAGCGACAGAGTCAATCTTAAGATCATCTGTAGACTTAATGGAACTGACTCACTTTCCACAGTCTCCCAAGCGACAGAGTCAATCTTAAGATCACCTGTAGACTTAATTAAACTGACTCACTTTCCATAATTACCAACCTGTTTGCATGACAAAGTCAACCGTAAATGAAGTCTTCCAGTTATCTTAGAATTTTTCTTCAGTTTTGCCCTTATATCAAACCAGCGGTCTAACCCCGTGGGTGGGATATCCTGTAAAGAAATACGTTTCATTTGTAATGACAGGAAAAGATAACTTTTGTCCAGCTCCTTTAGTCTGTACTCTGACGAGTTAACTTATTTTATTACCACATTTGAGACATAGAAATGTAACAACATAAATGCCGGTACTATAGAAAAAAATTACAATCCATAACGTCTGTAAAGTTATCTTCCTCATATACATGCTTACCTAAACACTTGAAATGTATTTGTTACTGTTGTCCTCTTGTTCGTGTTTACAACGCAACACTGAGAAATGTATTTTTATTGTTTTCCTTATATTCATGTTTATAATGCAAGAATGTAAAATGTATTTAATTTTTTTTGTTCTCATATTAATGTTTAAACGCAACACTGGAAAATGTTTTTTTATTGTCGTCCTCATATTCATGTTTACAATGAAACACTAGAAAACGTATTGTTGTTGAAGGAATCTCGCGATGTAGGTTCTCTTCCATTTCTCAGAAGATAAAAGTTACAATAACAAAATCGACTTTCTAACAAACTTTGACACGGTATCAAATCAGGGAAGGTTTTCAAAAAGGAAATGATTGAAAAACTTTGTTTAATATTCCAAATTATAGCCACCTACCTTCAGAGGAATCGCTACTACTCCAATAAAGTCGTCCACATTCTTTTTGTTTTCTAACGTTTGCTTCATTTGCCTGAAAAGACTTGGTAGAAATAATGCTTTACTTTGGTATTTTAACTAATGAACTTTGATTTACATCTTGACTTTAGTGTAATGAAAGTTTTAAGAAATATATAATGAATCAAACAAAACCAGATATCAAAGTGGAGTGCAACTATTCGGAGTGTCACTCAATACTACCCTATTACTCCACCTAGCGTTAGCTATGTGAACTATTGAACATCTATCTGAAGTTATCTATCTATCTATCTATGTTTGTGTTTTGTTGCGTATTATTTTTGTCACAAACTTTAATTCTATTCAATCTTCTATAACTTCAGAGCCAAATTTCTGACAGTAAATGCTGTTAAACCTCCCGGATGTTGTTTCGTACAAACTCTACGAAAATCCACAAAAGATCAAGTAATAGTTGTCTTCATAACCTAACTATTTCAACTTAAACAGTTAATATATACAAAAACTACCGATAAACAACCTAACAAAACATATTAGCATTACACTGTAAACCTGCCTACATCATCACAGACTACCTAACAAAACATATTAACATTACACTGTAAACCTCCCTACACCATCACAGGCTACCTAACAAAACATATTAACATTACACTGTAAACCTCCCTACACCATCACAGGCTATCTAACGAAACATATTAACATTACACTGTAAACCTCCCTACATCATCACAGGCTACCTAACAAAACATATTAACATTACACTGTAAACCTCCCTACACCATCACAGGCTATCTAACGAAACCGTAGTCCAGTTTCAAGGGCTCTGACTATATGAGAACCTGAAAACTGAACGATGTTATAGTTCACAATACATTAAGAGATATGGCGACATTTGTTAAAATAAAACAATTTAAACATCTAGACTTTTCATGATCGCATATTTACCTTACTATTCCTGAGGGTTTATCAACTGTTTTAACGTCTTCCCAAAATGTACTTTCCTCTTGGTCATCATCCCAGATGCACACAACAAGTATCTGGTTTGCCATATTTGAAACGTCACTGAAATTGGGCATTACGCTATAAATCTTCATGGCAATAAAAAGCGTCATTCAAAATATACAGAGGTTGAATATGTTATATTAAAACGATTTTGTAGCTTCGCCAATTCTCACTACATGCTTTCCATAATCCATCTAGTGTACGAGAATTAATGTTTCCCAGCGCTCAATTCAACAGTCCGATTGTACAAAAACCCATATATGATTTGACCTGTATGTCTTTAAATAGAATAGTATGAGAACCCGTTTCATTTTCCAACTGCTTAAGGTATGTGGTGGTTGAACGGATATGTCGTGGAAGCAGCTCGTGTCATCTTTATAGACATAGCTTCTTCTTGATTATGTTGCGTACAGTTGCCTAAGATACGAGGACGTCTTTTGTCACTGACATTTATGTTTGTGGATTCTGAACTGTTACAAGACGCCGCCCTTTGCTTACTCTACCTGGGATACGACTTGTTGGATTATCCTGAACCTCTGAGTTGATCTTAATTTCTTTGTTTCCCAATATCATTAAATACAAAGGATATCCCTGTATTAAAAGAAATGTTAATAGCCTTCCCAAGATCGGTCAATTTTTGGTGACATCATACTCCGTAAGAAACACCAAACAATGTTAAAACCTTGATAAAAGAGTTAGCACAAAGGATCACATATATAAACCTAAAATAAGACCCAAAACTCGAGCGCTTTCGAATAGTTGACTATTCTTCTTCAGGAGAACAAAATGTTAAAATGTAGTTTTTATACATGTCGTTCCATCGAAACATTATATTAGCAGTGAATGTCATGTGATTTGCTGATTTCCATATTCAAAATAGTTTTAATATAATGTACTTAACACTCTGTACAACACTATGGTTAGAAGTATTAAATAATAAAGAATACTAACTTTACAATGTGCAAAATAGCAAGTTTATTTAACTTCAAACCATTTTCAGTGAATTAGGTTTCGTTAGAGCATTGTACTCTATTTCTGTTATAAACCTTTTTTTTCTTAAATGTAAACGAATGATGGGGAAATTTCTTTATTTTTTATCGTAAACGTGCACGTATTATTAGTGTATTAATAAAGATTTCAAAACTTGACGATATTGTACTTCTTGAACAAAATATTGAAATAGCTAACTTACAGTTTGAAATATTCTTGCCACACAGGCGACAACGTTTTTTTCTTTGTTGTAGAACATAGGACATTGGACTTACTAAGCCCCTGGTTAAAGATTTCTGGTCGTATATCTCCTTGACCATCAAAATTGTGAGGTAAAAGAAGACCAAAAGTGCAATATGGATCACTCAAGCCTAAAATCAGAACATATGTTGTTAATATCTTATAAACGACCGAACCTTAATGGGCCAATTAAGAGTAAAGTGATTAGCATCATCAAGCTTATTGTGAATATTCCCCAAACAAGATCCCCAAGAATCATATATCATTTTAGGTATGTAGGTATAGAACATCGTGACTGGTTTAACTACCGTTTCAACTAACACACTAGGCAATGTGTTTAAAAATGCTATTAAGTTGAGTTTATGTTGGAAACTCTTATTCGAAATTAAGAAACAATTTTAAATAACATTAGCAGTAACATTGTAATATTCTGTCCCACTTTTACTCTGAAAGGATCATAATATTGTATTATACGAGTTTCGCTGTATGTTATATTTTAAAGTTTAAATTAGAACAAAGTATGTGTTTGTTATTTGCATATTAAATGTTTGTATCAGACTACAACTATATCGTGTTATGATATACAGTTAATTAGGTATATTAATATATACCTAACATACAAGAACAGTCTCTGATATCATCAGTTTGAACTACTCTTTATTGCTCTACTATTTAGCGACTTAATAATTATGATATACATATATGTAAATACATTGAAGATAGTGCGAAGGAAGAAGTTTGTTTTAGAAGAGAATAACTTATTTGATATTTCTTAACTTTGGTAAACTGGCGGATTTAACAGATTATTTGTATTTCAGGTTTTATTCCCTTTGGCTGTTCGTGATATATTTCAATATATTTTGTAATGGTTAATCTCTCAAGAAAGCAACGTTATTTTCTATAAAATAATAACACAACTATATCTCACTTCCTGGCTCACCCGTGGACATCCTTTTTTTTAAGATTTTCAAACAATACATCGGAAATGGGTTTCAGATGTATGCTAGGATATCATTATTATCTTCCCCCGTTTTTATAAGGAAAAATCAGTGAATTCTAGTGAAAAATGATAAAAATATAGTTGTTTTTGTTGACACTACTGAACGATAAACTTTCGTTTTATACTGCTTTCCACGTGTTTTATTCATGTAATGAGAACTGGTTGTAACATCCGTTAATATCAGACTTCTACCCAAACTGAACTGTGAAGACAAAAAGCAGAAAATCAACTGAAAATTTTTGAAAACCTAGAAGAGAATTTAATCAAAATTTTGGAATAAGAGTGTGCACCTATTTAAGCCTCAAATTAGGGACTTTATTTCATACCGTACATTACCGATGGGGACCAAATATATTTCACATCGTTCACTACTGTTGAGGCCTAAATATATTCTTCATACCGTTTACTACAGTTGAGGCCTAAATATATTCTTCATACCGTCCACTACTGTTGACGCCTAAATATACTTCATATCGTCCACTACTGTTGAGGTCTAAACATACTTCATATCGTTCACTACTGTTGAGGCCTAAATATATTTCACTTCGTTCACTACTGTTGAGGCCTAAATATACTTCATATCGTCCACTACTGTTGAGGTTTAAACATACTTCATACCGTTTACTACTGTTGACGACTAAATATACTTCATATCGTCCACTACTGTTGAGGTTTAAACATACTTCATACCGTTTACTACTGTTGAGGCCTAAATATATTTCACTTCGTTCACTACTGTAGAGGTCTAAACATACTTCATATCGTCCACTACTGTTGAGGTTTATACATACTTCATACCGTTTACTACTGTTGAGGCCTAAATATACTTCATACCGTTTACTACTGTTGAGGCCTAAATATATTTCATACCGTTCACTACTGTTGAGGCCTAAATATATATTTCATACCGTTCACTACTGTTGAGGTTTAAACATACTTCATATCGTTTACTACTGTTGAGGCCTAAATATATTTCATACCGTTCACTACTGTTGAGGCCTAAATATACTTCATATCGTCCACTACTGTTGAGGTCTAAACATACTTCATACCGTTCACTACTGTTGACGCCTAAATATATTCTTCATACCCTCCACTACTGTTGACGCCTAAATATATTCTTCATACCGTCCACTACTGTTGACGCCTAAATATATTCTTCATACCGTTTACTACTGTTGAGGTCTAAACATACTTCATACCGTTTACTACTGTTGAGGCCTAAATATATTCTTAATACCGTTTACTACAGTTGAGGCATAAATATACTTCATACCGTTCCCTACCGGTGGGGTCCGTATATACATCATCACATTGAGAAATTTTAAGTTTTTTATCTACCTCTAACTTGGTTTAAAGTCTCAAAAACTGTCCAAAGAAATTGAATGAAGTTTATCATTTTCTACATATGATACAAAGGGAACCTCAGCATTAACTAGTTGAAATAATTATAGTAATGGTGATATACTTGCGTTTAACTTTTAGGTGTGACTCACGCGTTATTAGTGACCATAAACCCACAAGATATTTGGTGTGAAAATAGAAAGCCAATGGGATGTGGAACCCAATCTGTCATTCTAGGGTAGGGTTACTATACATCCCAAAAGTGTGTTCCCTGTTCGAAAAAATCGTCCCTTAAATATTCTTACATTTCATTATTCATTATGAAGTCTGTCACAGAAATACGTTAAAAATGCATATTCAGCCAAGTGGTTAATTGCTTATTAGTTTATTTTTTGTATTGTCCTACGTACTATTATATTAAGGCGTGAGTGAAATTCGGTGAATATTTTGAAATAACTTTTAGCAAGTGAAAATGTCAAATGTTGCCCGCATCTACAATTATGGTAAGTACAGATAAATATTTTGATACAAAATATAATCACCTTATTCGCTAGGTTAGTTTTAACTTTGATGTTGCTGAGGGTGATTATATTGTACTTACCATTAGGATCCATGTCTTTCAAGTTCGTTGCCTCAAATAGGTCAATTTCTAGCTCCACTGGCTGTTTAATAAGAAAACTGTTAGTTAGTTTTTCTGTTCCCATAATCGATATCTTATTACACCACGGATCAAACGGATAAGTCAGAGATCCCTGTGATTCAGGCATATCCATCCTAAATTTCTAGCTGTAAACCAGCACCCACTGCCTCAAGCGGCTACTATAAACCAAATAGCGGGACTGACTTTCATTCTTATGACGCACCCAGCAGAAAGTATGAAATGAGTTTAGTAGCATTTTAAACCCAAGTTCTTCTTATACCCAATTCTATACATTGATCACTGAGGCACGCTCGAGCATTAATAGGGGATGTATGTCACAAAGAACCAGATATTTGAAACCCGAGTTTCTCAAATCTTCAGTTTAATATGACGAACACTGGGTCACGCATATTTCTCTATTTTCAGAAAGCAAGATATTGAAAACAGCGAACGGAGAAGCATCTTTGGGTCAGCGGGTATGAAAAGATCGCGTATCAACAAATCACGTATACGAAGAAAGAGTGAAGACAGATCAACCTCGAATCACAATTATTCTACGTTTAAATTTTATTTATTTACATATTTATTCAATAAAGCACCATTATTTTGATTGCTAAATATAATTGTATGTCTTCTTAATCTAATTGAAATCCTTGCATTTGTATGCTTAAATTTCTATAATATTCTAAAGTTTATAAATATATAGCGTGGAAACGTAAATACTAAAAGATTTTGAATGCAAGCACTTGCAATAATTTTCCCAAAACATTTAACGGCTTAACGTAAAATTGAAATAGCAACTTAATAAATGTTTTTATTTTGGTGTTCTTTCACCCCTCTCCCTCAGAGGCATGTTTGAATTGTATCCAGTTCATACCTGTTCTTCAGTTGTAGTAACCAATACGTGGCCAGACTGGGTGTGAGATTATTTACACAACCTGTTATAAGAACAAAATCAAAGTAAATACAAAATTGTATATATTTGTTCAGAATTTCGCGTAAAACTGCACATGGACTATCTGCACATGGCCGTTCCTAATTTTGGACTTATAGGTTAAATGGAAGGAGGCTAGAACGCACTCACAGCCAACTCTCGGGCTACCCTATTCTAGCTGAATAATAGGATTTGGTCATTACTCTTGTAACCTCAAAGTGCGGAGTGCGTTTGTGTGTTAATAGGTCGTGAACCATTAATTTTCTGATTCACAGTCTGGGCACGCTAACCACTGAGTCAAGTATGAACTAATAGAACTGAGAAGCCATATAATGTAGATGGACTTGACCTTATACCAACTTGAAGTCGTGGTAATGATGATGAATTCACATTATATCAACCAGAAGATACTGTTTGTATAAGATTTTAATACAACTTTTTATATACAGAACAAAAGAAGTTAGGTCTAACGGAAGATGCGTGTGAAAAAATGAAATAGTTACAGACTGAGCAACATCAAAACGTTTGTAACTGCGTTAATTCATAGAATACAATATTTATTCTACATTTAATTTAAGCATTTCATCTTATTAGTTTACTTTAAAATTCACTCTGTGGTTCACTGATAAACTTGGGAGCTTATAACACTAAAACTACAGGTTCAATCCCTACGGTGGGAACAGCACAGATTGCCTATTGTGTAAGTTTGTACTTTAAATAAAACAAGACAGTTTAAAAGCAAAAGATCTAGGGTAAAATTGTTAATTGCATTTTTTTATACTAAACTACTTCGATATTACAGCTAAAGCACACAAAAAACTTACCTTCACACTGACTTCTTCTTTTAACACAGAAAAACACAAGTTGCTATTTTTGATACCAAAAACCTAACAAAAATAGATATACAGTATTTAGACGCAAGTTTCTATTTAAAAAATTCGATAGCATAAATTGTCTGTATTCGCACAGCTAAATTAATGCTATTGATATAATTCCAACATAAATACAATAATATCTGTATTATGTGCTTATCTTAATTCCTCATCACGGCAAGTAAAACAATATCTATATTATCTGCTTATCTTGGTTCCTCAGTGTCAGAGGGTATGCTTTTGTTAACAAAAACTTAGAAACTGAACAGCCTTCTTTTCTAGACCGTCAAATTTAAATATTAGAAACAGCCAGAATCTAACCTTTGTTTCTTACTGCTAAAGTGCTATCCCTTGGTAACACGTTAACCCTAACATGGCAGATTATCAATTAATTAAACATTCACACTATGATTTATTTTGGTTTCTCTCGATTTCTTCTAAGTCATAGATTACTGTATAAATTATGACGTTTTGAGAATGAGGATTGTTTTTCATCAATAAGTTACGGCTTAACTAATAATTTCAGTCACTAGTAAGATTAGAAACTAAATAGAAAACACAAAAATGAATAATTCACAGCACAGTCTTTGTACTTAATTTGAAAGTGAAGTGCTTAAAATACACTTTTGTAACCAAAACAAATACATACAATGTGTCACAAATAATACAGAGCAAAGAAAGGACAAAGTTTTGGTGATTTGCTTATTATTAATTTTATTTTACATACGATATGTCTTACTTCTTGCAGGTGATCCAATATGGCGTCGGTATCCCCAAATTCACCCTTTCCCAGAGGGCGTAGTATGCTACGTACCATCAGTTTAAAGCGGTATTCATGTTCAGTTGCCTACAATAACGAAAATATTTAAGGAGATCAAATATATCTTCACATTTTTCTTTGTTTTTCGAAACTGCGAGACATTGCATTCTTCTATCGATTTATTTTTAATATCTATTTTTCTATGTTTTTGTTGTTTTTTCTGTCTAATTTATTTATTTGTTTCAATTAATTGATTTGTTTATGTCTTCTTGCTCACTGTGGTGGAAAATATAAACATTAACCAATAAAGTATTCCAAGGCATTACTGTGTAGAGTTAGTACTATAGTTAAAAAAAAAACATACAAAACATATAATCCTTTTATTTTATATGAAACTATGAAACTAAGGGAAAATCAATTCATTACTTTTATGAAAAGGATAATATAAAAAAACTAATAAATTCTGACGTAATGATATGAAAATTATAATAAAAATTTAACTAGAACGTCAATGCAAAAAAGGGTAATCGATCGAACTAACACAAAAGCAATAGAAACATTATTTATTGTTTGTTCTCCTAAACGACTCTTTGTAGACAAAACGAGCTAAGCAGACAAGTAAGTTTGTTTTGGTTGTTGTTAAACACAATGTTATACAATGTGCTATCTATGCTGTGCCCGTCACGGGTATCGAAACCCGGTTTTTAGCGTCGTAAGATTGTACACTTACCGCTGAGCGACTGGAGGGCAACTATGAATCGAGAGAAGTCAACCAGCCGGCAGTGCCCACTGTTTGAAGTAACTTTAATACTTGGATTGACTGTCATTCTTACAATCTTACGAAACATTCCCAGCAAAACTTGAATCATGTTTTGATCTACATGTGATTAGGTCCTTCATATATTGAATTGTAACTACATGATAAAAGTATTATACTAGCTGTAAAATGTCTTTGTGAATCGTTGTTTTTTGTTTGGATGATGGGTTTTGTTTTCCATCTTAGGCCTGTAACTATCGTTCAGAAAAGCAGTTTTACCCCAAATTCAGATTGTTATTATACTGAATTCACTCGTGCACTACACGTGATTTCTATCTACTAAATTAAAGAACTAATATCGAAAAAATATTTCATTTCAAACCTTTTTCCCTCTTTCTGTTACTTTTGAAATTACACTAAAAACATGGCCTCTGTCTTATGATATTAACGAATGTAAGCTATACAAAGTTTTTTAGTTAACTTATATATATCACAATCCCATTTTTCAACTCCTACCATTTCTGGGTCTCTGAGTGGCCAACTTTTTAGGTTACAGTTGTGGTTCTACTAAATGATAGCCCTCGAATCTCCGCCTTTAAGTTGAATCACGTTCACACAACATAAACTCTAACAACTCAATGCAGGTGGTGCTACTTGTGGCTAGTAATCCCCACGGAAGTTACAGAAAAAGGAAATGCACGCGCGTAGTTAAGACGGTTTCTTTGAAGACAAGATTTTTACTTCCTGCAGACGTTCACAACATTACCGACTGGTATTCATATCCGCCATCGTCCTCCAAATAGTGTTGAAAGCATAAATAATTTATGCGTAAAATTAGTGGATTGTTTGTAAATTGGAATATTTATTCCAGTGTTTTACAAGTGTATGTGTTTTTGTTTTATACATTTTATAGTAAAGAAAATGAAGTTGCTAAACGATTAAGAACCGTAAAAGGAATTGGCATTACTATTTTCAACCTTAAAATCACCTTATGTGATATATGGGCTCAAAGAAATCTTGTGTTCTGTTTAGCCTAGAAAGAAAGATAAAGATAGCCATCTGTCTATATATACTGCTAATATTTGATATTTTGTAGTCTGGCTGTGTTTGATAGTAAGCACCTGGCTGTGGTTCTCCAGAAACTTACTGATAATGAATGGCTTAACTCCATCAATGACTCAAGTTACGTCACGTCTAGAGTAACGTTTTATTCCAGGGCTGAGTATGGCCAAGTGGTTAGTTTGTCTGAACTATGAATTCGACTCCCATTTCTGTAAAACCGCGCTCATCACTTTGTGGTCATAGATATGTTATAAGAGTAATGAGCAAGTCCCACCATTCGATCAGGTATGAGTAGCCCAAGAGTTGGTGGTGAGTATTGTTGACTAACTGCCTTTCCTCTAGTCTTTCAGTTCAAAGTAATGGACGGCTATGCACAGATAACAGATGTGTAGCTTGCGCAAGCATTCTTATACAAACAACAGCATTCTGTTGCAAGGTGTGTGTGATAATCTAAACCGATATTTGACTAATGTTTATGTGGGTGTCCATTTATAATCAAACCGCTGGTCCAATTGCCACCAAACCTGACATATATTCTTATGGCCGCTGTGGAGTGGCATAGCAATGGGGTTGGCCTTCAGAAATGGCACGTCCGCTAGTGTTAGATAAAAAAATTTAACTGATTCATACAGCCGATCCTTTCTTGAGTAGAGGCTTCCACAAAAGTCTGTTGAAAAAATATCCTCGAGTACTAAGTTTTAACTTTAGTTTTACTGATAATTGGGTTTTCTGCTGAGTTTTGCGGAAAGCTACTCGAGAGCTATCTATGCTAGCCGTTCCTAATTTATAAGTGATAGGCCATATGTCAACACCATCCACAAACAATTCTTGAGCTAATGTTTATCAACGAATAGTGCAATTGAATGTCACATTAGAATACCACAATGGCCCACAGATTGCGAGTCGAGTACCCTATCCATCAGGCCGTGCCAGAGGGGTAAATATAAGTTTTGTAAAATATGTTCTTTTGTTACCAGAAGAGCTTCACAATACAGATTAGGGTAAATGTTACCGAGAGAATACGTAAAAATGTAAATCTAACTAGTATATATGGGGGGGGGGGACGGGATTTTCCAAGCAACCATGGCATGTTTCATTATCTAGCTGTTGTTGTTTTTTTCATTCCGGTTAAAATAATACATTCCATATTACGCTTAAATTATTTAAAACAAAACCTCAAAGATGATACAGGTGATCGAGTGATTATAAAGATAAATACGGATAAACATGTGTATTTTTTAAAGTTTTGTTTTTAGCGCAAAGCTATACAATAAACTATCTGTATTCTGTCCACTGTAGGTAATCGAACCCATGATTTCAGCTTTATAAGTCAGGAAACTTCCCGCTGATTCACTGGGAACTTTTTTTGAGAAATGGTCCATTTTTGACGTCTGATGTCACGTTAGTATCACACTTTTTGATAAAAATGTTTTCAGAATTAAAAATGTAATTAAAAAGTCATGATTTTTGAGCTCCTCCAGTTTATGGAATATCTGCTGACTATCTTAAAATCATGATATCTTGATTATTAAATACGAAAAAGTTGCTTCTGTTAGTGGGATTAGAAGAATAAGTATAATGACTAATGTTAGGTCACTTTGTGAAATTTTGATATATAAGTTTTTGGTATAGCAACAATATCGACATTTTTTTCTTTTCTAAACCTGACGATTCAGAAGTATTTGGTCACGAGGTGGCGCTTTAATTCGTAAACGACAGTCCTCCATTGAAAAGATGAAGATGTATATAGGCTTACTACTAGAGTCATTGAGAAATTTATTAGAAAATTCTGAGTAGTAGTTACTCGGTTTTCTATTATATGCTAATATTAGCAGAAATCATGGCTACAGCAAAATATGATCTTGACACTTCTGGGAGTCTTATGCCGGTAAGTTTTGCACTTTGTTTGATAGGATTGTTTGCGCCAGAAAAAAGTGAATGAAACCAAGTATTCTTCGACCAAAGATGGCTTCTCAGTCTCAGTATTTTACTTTGTAGGCTAGTGTGGGTTATTATTAATTTAATTTTAATTTCTCTAATGTATGAGTTGTCATAGATAATTGTTTGTTAACGTGCAAGACAAATTTCAAAGCAAAAATACCTGTTTAACGTAACTTCCAGTCATCTGAACCTAACGAGTGAATTTGTTCGTGTTCTGTTTTGTTAAGCAAATCCAAGCATTAATCGCCCCACCACCAAACGAAGGAGAGTCAAAGAAGAAGAAAGAATACGAACCTCGCTATTGTCGATCAGGACGAGCAGTAAACCATGATTGTTGTGATAGTTGTGAGGAAGGAGGTGATTTGATTTGTTGTGATCGTTGCCCAGCATCTTTTCATCTTCAGTGCCAGTAAGTTGACTATCATCAGTAATATTAATTAGTTGATGAATAGGCCCAGATGTAAATTGTTGTAATATATTATTATTAAATAATGATAACGAATATCTTTCTGTCATAAAATGTTAATTCAAATAGGTTAAACATTTGTCACTTGTCTGCTTAGGATTAGAATTGATATTACTTGAACTATTACTATTTGCAAGTGAAATGAATACATTTTACACCATTAATTGTAAAGTGAATATTAGTCTTAACTTTTTTGTCAGTAGGTTATAAGTCGCAACAATAACTCATCTTTCTAAAACTGTTTTTAGCTAAACTCTTCATTTCAAAATAACAGCAGCTCAATAATAAGTTGCAGCTAAAATTAATATATGCTTAACCATATGACAGATTATAAACCTAATTTAAAAAATTATAATATCAGGAAAAGTAAATTTTATTTTTGTGGTTTGATTTTCTTTTTTTATATTTAATGTATTATTTAAGGTAAACTATATGGTTAGTTCAAGTGTGTGAGTGTTTACTGTTATGGTGAAAAGACTGAAGAGCCACAGAAAACATGACATTAACACTGTGGTGAAATATTAAAGATGTTCATCTTTAATAAAGTGTTTCATATGTAATGGGTAATATAATGATTCACAGAGTTACTTTTAATTATATCTTTTATTATAGTAACCCACCATTGGAAGAGAAAGACTTGCCAAGAGGAGAGTGGTTATGTCATCGTTGTAAAGTTTTACTCACTGAAGTAAGTTAAGTGAACATCTTCCACTTGTGTATATATATATATATATATAATGCTGAGGTGCCTCATACTTGGGTAAATTACTATTTATTCACTGTAAATATTGTGTTCTCTTAAAATCTGTGTGTATGCATACATGTATGTGTATTATGGGA